AACTCTAGGTGCAGATATCCTTAATGAATAGGGAGTTATGCTTCCCATCCTTGAGGGTATCTGTGCATATTCTTTGGAATTCTTCTACATGAGATATTTGTCTCTTTGCTCCCTTTTATTAATTCATCCAATCACTTAAATATATCAGTATGGACTCATTAATATTTACTTTGCACGTTGGGGTATAATCCAACACTAGTGTTAGTGTTAAATAAAAATTACAACAGGGACTGGGAATATAGCTCAGAGGCAGAGAGCTGGCCTGGCATGCACAAGCCCTGGATTCAATCCCCAGCACCTCAAGAGAAGAAAGAAAAAACTACCAGAGGCCATTGGGTTGGCCTAAACTCATTCATTAGGCCCAACAGATCTGCATAAAAATCAAAATGGAGTTGCTCATGATCAAGTTCCACATCACCAAGCTGAAACTAGGCTGCTTACCTGACCTTCCAAGAAATCAGAATGAAAGAAATAACAGTCAAATTTCCCCAATAGGTTAGTTTTGATTGGCACGGTAACAATGATGATTGTTACCAGATGATAGATACAGATGATAGATATAGACAGACAGATCATAGACACTCTCCTCCGTCTTTAATCCTTACATTTTTTTTTAATTTTAGTTGTCTGTGGACCTATATTTTATTTATTTATATGTTGTGCTGAGAATTGAACCCAGTGCTTCACACACGCTAAGCAAGCTCTCTACCACTACCCAGGCCAATCCTTACATTTTTAAATCTCTACAAAAAGTATATAATTTTATGTTAAGCAATTACTTATTTTTCTATTGTTCTCTCTTCCTGTCCCCATCTTACAAGGAAAGTCACTTTGAAATGGTCAATCCACTTTTTATTCCCCTGTTTCTGCTTTCTTCAGCCTTTCCACATCAATAAAACCAATCTCCTCTATTTGGCCCATTGGAACACTTATCCTATCTTAAGGAATGAAACGCTGCCCAATTCTAGAATCAAAAAGAGTGCCAACTAAGATTGTTGAACTAAATTGTTGTCATTTTATTCTCTGGCACTACTTTGTTTTGTTGTTCAAATTGTTCTAGTGTGAGCCATTGAGAACTACGTGATACATTCTTCCCATCTTTTTTTTTTGTACCAGGGATTGAACTCGGGGTGCTTAACCACTGAGCCACATTCCCAGCTCTTTTTATTTTTTATTTTGAGACAGAGTGTCACTAAGTTGCTTAGGGCCTTGCTAAGTTGCTGAGGTTGGCCTCAAACTTGCAACCCTCCTGTCTCAGCCTCCCTAGTTGCTGGGATTACAGGCATGCACCATTGTACCCGGCTCCCATCTTCTTATCATTATTTTTCAACATCCATATTCTACAAATATTTATTGAACATCTGCTATATGCTATGCTCTGTGCTAATTGTATAGGATCTACATGTAGTTTTGTAAGTTAATAAAGAAGGGAAGAAGTGAGGAAGAAGAATGAAGCTCCAAGTTTGAAGCTAAATGAATTGAACGTCAGCAGCCTTTGAACATCAGCAGGAAGTGACCAGCTCTAATTTGGGCTTCAGAAGGTCATCCAGGTATAAGGAAGCCAATGGATGGTTCCATGATGATTGTCCAGGGAGGGCAGAAATTCTGCAGTGACTTGCAGTTTGCTGGCTTGAGCAATGGGTGGATTGGGGTGTAGTTGGCTAAGACAGGGTACCGTGGTTATGAGAATATGTGAAGGGATAGCTCAGGGAGGAGGAGCTTTGGAGAACACCAACATGAGGAAGATGAGCAAGCCAAGAAGATAGAGGAGGGGAAACGGGCACAGATATTTCTAAGAAGGGAGAGTCTGCATAGGTCAGATGCAACAGAGAACCCAGCTGCAGACCTGGGAAGCATGGAGGGGATATGGCAACTAGCAGATTATTCTTGGAAAGGGGGGAAAGAGGAGCCAGTTGCCTAGGACCGAGGACGGAAGGAGAGGCGAGGAAGAGGAGACCAGTAGTTTCTGAGGAGTTGAGCTATGAAGTGGAGGAGCTCTGGGGTTAACACTGTCTGGTTGTACTTTCGCTCATTTATGGGCTGTGGGATGCCGAGGGGCAAGGAACAGCCTACGCCCCCTAGAGGACAGGTGGTGTCATTACAGACAAGTTGACAGGTGCTGGGGGAGGGGAGAGGATTTATTACATTTTTCAATATCCCAGGGCGTTTGCTGAGTGAAGAGAAATCTTCACTGCTACCTGAACTTGGTTTCATGTCCAATTTATTAACCTTATGAATTTTTTGAATCTTGATAGCTTTTTAAACAATCCATATCTCTCTAATATTCCCCAAAATAAAAATTAACACTTAGAAATTTGACAAATTTTTCCAAACATTTAAAACATGGATTACCCAAACAATGACAATAAAGGAATTCCAGCTACTTAGGAGGTTGAGGAGGATCACAAGTTCAAGGCCAGCCTAGCCAACAGATGGAGGCCCTGCCTCAAAATAAAAAAAAATAAAAAGGGCTACAGATGTATTTCACTGGTTCAATCCCCAGTCCAGAAGAAAAGTGACAATAAAAATATTGTATCACCTTTACTACATGCCAGGCACTGTCTAAAGAACCTTACATGCATTCTTTATTCAATCCTCACAATACTATGAAAAATGTTTTATGGTTTCTGCCTGGTTCCCCTTGTACAGCTGAGACTGAGGACCAGAGAGGTGAAGTAACTTGCCTAGGGTTACACAGTTGGTAGGTATTAGAGTTGAGACTGGAACTCAGTTACCTGGGTTCCAGAGAATCTGCTTCACTGACACTCTATAATGAAATAACAGCTGATTTTTCTAAACACTCTAAACACCTACACAATTGGTAAAATGTACACAAATACAATTTTTTCATATTATAAATATAAATAAAGAAATGAAATGATAAAAAAAAAAGCTAAAGACTTTTTTTTTTCTTTTTTGCAGTGGTTAACTTCTAATGATCTAAACTGTCTTTACAGTACAGTTGAGAAGGAATTCAATGCCACCAAGTAGAGGCAACACTTCTGTTCTTGCTTGTTTTTTTACCTTCATCTCATGTCCCTGGGCTCCTGCAGGAGCCTGTCATGTTTCCTCCTCTGGGCACCCTGTCTGTGGGTCCCGCTACTTCTTGCGCCTGGTTTATGTCAGGTTGCCTAACTCTCCTCTCCCTGATGAGAAAATGGTCTCTGGTCAACCTGGCCTTCTCGGTCCTTCCCCTGCCATCCTGGGCCGCTCCCTTGCTTCCTGGGACCAAGTAGATATTTGAGTTCCATCCTCACTTTCTTTTTCCTATCCCAGGATGGAGAATCCATGAGTGTCCTGGGAATCTCATTTCCTTTGCATTGGAATACATTAGAGAGCCACTCTGGGTGTTGGCGGAAGTTGGCTTGAGCCATGGCCTCCTGCAGAGAGGAGCCCAGCTGTGACTGGACACCCTGGAGGGGGCCTGCTGGGCAGATGAGGCTGAAGGTGAAGGTGTCCGTCCAGCAGGGGCTGCCAAACACAGCAGCTGCTCTCCGGGCTCTGCCTTTTGAGAGGGAGGAGAAGGGATGGCAGGAGCTACCGAGCTGCCACTCATCCCTCCCCAGCGCACCTGCAACACTGTTTACCTCTCTGCTAAGTCACCGGAGGGAAACCCTGCTCCCTCCTGGGGTTTCCTGGTCAAAGGGAGGTGTGGCTCGTGGCCCCCACGGCCCTGGGCTGCTGCCTTCCTCTGCACAGGCCCAGGACTGTGTGCTTGCTCCCCTAGGCCCCCTCCCCAGGCTCCCTGCCCCTCAGCCGGGGTTTCTGACTTTTGTCCTTCCCCATGTGGTGCCCAGTACATGAGGGTGCAAGATCAACGACTGTGGATTGACTCCATGGAGGAATACATGAAGGAACTCCCCATCTTCTCAAAGTGGAGGCGAGGAAATCCCATTCCTCCTATTTTTACAGAATACACAGAGGCACGGACTGGAAACCTCGCCCCCACCTCCTCTCCCAGGTTGTTGTGGGACTCAGTATTTTTTTTTTTTTTTAATCCAAGGCAGGACATCTCAAGTCTCACAGCTGACAGCATTGGGTCCTGAGATAGGGACCTGGGCCTGAAGACAACGTGCTCCACTCCCCACCCCAGGGCAGGAGCTAACTGAAATGAACCCAGGCAGGGACCCGCCTGAGGCTCTGGGTCCTGATTGGCTGTTCTAAGATCTGTTCAAAAAGAAACAAGGGACCTGAGGGAGGAGGAGCTTGCACTTGGGGGTCCTCTAGCCCCTTCCAGGCCCTTAGAGGGACAGTTGAGTCACTGAGGCAAGTCTGCTGGAGTCTGATCGGCCTCCCCCATCCCACAGAGACTGAGCCACACAGATGGAATGGCGGTTTCCCTGCAAAGTCTCCCTAGAGCTCAACCTCCCTGCTGGGATTGGGCATGGGCAGCTCCAGGCCTCCTCTTTGAGACAGTTCACAAAAGAGGAGAAGCCGGGATGGGGGGGGGAGGGGTTCTAGACCCAGAAACCCTGCTTCTCCCTTCCTTTCAATCAGGCTTTGGGCATCTCCCTTCTCTCCCTTCTGGAAGAATCATGAGGCGGCAGAGGTCACTGGTCTCAGGGTCTAGCATATGGCGATGGAGGGCTCCTATAGGAGACCCCTATGCTGACTGAGGTTTTCTCCTAAAAGTGTCAATAGCTATTATTCATCAAGCGTCCCCATGTGCCTGGTGCTGGGCCAAGGGCTTCCCACGTGCTGTTCTACTCTCCAGGAGTGAAAAACTTGAGACTTTAGAGACCTCTGGGAACTTATTCAAGGTCACACAGTTAGTTCAGATGCAAGAACTGTTCAGAGTCATTGGCTCAACCACACCCCCCAAAACATACTAATGGTAGGGGACACACCCATAGTCCAGGGTTGTGACAGATTCTGCCATCAGCTGTCAGGCTGGGGCCCCAAACATCTGGCTCAGCAGATAGAAGGGACAAGAGGGTCTGCCGCTGATCCCCAGGGAGGGGCCCTCTCTCTCAAGTCAGGGTGTGTCCTTTTCTGGGGAACCATCTCTCTCCTTCTCTAGCAGAGGCAGAAAGAAAGGTTTCCCAGCAAGGAAAGAGACCTCATGGGGAGGCCTGGACTGACAAGGACCTGCCTGCCCTGAGGCAGGTGGGTCAGCCACTGAGAGGGAACCCAGGAGATTGGTGGGAGAGAAAAGAAGAGGCAAGACTGGAGAGATGGACACTGAGCTCCTGCAAGTCCTTCCTCTGTCCTCAGCTGCCCCAGCAGCTATCTTGCTATGTAGACTCACACTGGGAGAAACGGACACACCAGGAGCCCATTCTTCCCTGCAAGCCTGCTCCCCCCCACCTGCCCTCTCTCTTCACTGCCCAGACCTGGCCAGGGAGCTGGGGACCTGGGCCTGACCCATCACCTGGGTCATGCTCTAAGGTGTCATGTGGAATCTCTGCTACAACGGTACATATTTTAACAGTGTTTGATTGGTTTTAAATGAAGTGCATGTGGGGAGAGGCATTCTTTAATGCCAGGGCTCCCTTTGCACAGCAAGGGTTGCCAGGGAAGCCAAGCGCCATGGTGCCAATAATCCCAGTGGCTTTGGGAGACTGAGGCAGGAGGATTGCAAGTTCAAAGCCAGCCTCAGCTACTTAGCGAGACCCTGTCTCTAAATAAAAAATAAAATGGGCTGGGGATGCAACTCAGTGGTTAAGCGCTCCTTGGTTCAATCCCTGTACAAAAGAAAGCATTGCCAGGAGATCCAAGTGTGCCCTTCTAGATGGCACCTCCTCACCCTGGGCCCTGGCATCAGGATTCTTCCTGGGGAGGACATTTGGTCCCCACAGCAGAGGAGGTGGCTCGGTGGTTCTAAGTATTTCCAAGGCACGGGCCTAGGGTACAAGGCACTTTCTGGTGAGCATTAGACAGCCAGTGCAAACCAGCATCTGTCCCTTCCACATCTAGTTCTGAGCTCCCACCACTTGGTGGTTGCTCTGAAGCCTACTGACTCATGGGCAGGCCATGGGGACCCAGAGGAACAGAAGGAGGACTGCGGTGGGGCTCCCCGCAGATTTCAGTGGACTCTAAGAGGAGGGCCCCGTAACTTGCACTGGGGCTGAGTCACAGAAGGGGAGGTGGCTGATCTACAGAAGGGACTGAACTCAATTTAAAAGTGAACCTGGTAAAGAGGAGATTGGATTGGCAGGGCAGGACTGGGGACCAAGAGCAAGCTCACCGCCAGGCCAGAGGAGGAATTGGGACTTAATGTGGAGACCACAGCAGGGAGCTGGGAAGGGCAGAGATGAGAAAGAGCTCAGAAGGGGAGCAGATTTTGCAATGCAGATCCTGGTCACCAGGTCACCCCTATCCTGCTAGGCCCAGCTATAGGTCCCTCCCCCCAGGCTCTCCTCCCCACCCCCACAAATTCTCTGCCCCATATCAGATCTTTCAGGTGTGGTCCCCCCTCACACTCAGGCCCGTCCCCAGCTGCCTGGGCCAAAAGTGGGCAAAGCTGGGTACAGTCTGAGGCTAAGTCTCCTGGAAGTCAAGGTTAAAAAGGGAAACCTGATGAATTAGACACTTTTTCCTTGTCTCAAAGAAAGAAATCTATCAGCTCATGTAAAGTTCCAAACCTGGTCCAGTGCTTAATTCCAATAGGAGTTTCTTTCTTTCTTTCTGAGATGGGGTCTTAATATGTTACCCTCTCATGGTCTCAAACTATGGACTCAAGTGATACTCTCACCTCTACCTCCTGAGTAGCCCGGATTACAGGCATGTGCCACTGTGTTAGGTTTGTTTTGTGAGTTCTCTGTGTCATCTCACCATGGATTAGCAAGGTTACAGAAACTTTTCCCAACCAACCATGAATCACACTGACCCCTTAGAGGCTAGGGGCATGCACGAAGTGAGAACCTGGCATGGAATTTCCCAGGGACAAGGCACTGGCACTTTGCCGGTGACCATTTCCTGGCTTCTAACATGATCCAGGGTGGAGCTGAGATTGGAGGAGCAGCCTGTGAAGCGGAAAGAACTGAATGAGCACCAGAGTCAGAGAGAGCAGTTTGAATCTTGACCTTATTGCCAACTGTCTGACCTTAGACTAGTTACTCTAGTATTCTGAGTACAAATTACCCTCTGAATACTCTCTCTGAACCCATTCTCAAAGCAGAAGTTGAGAATGTATTTCTCAAATCATTGTCATTTAATCATTAAGAATTCAGGGCCTAATTTACATATGTGTAATTTACATATGTATATATGTAAATTAGGCTCTGAATTCTTTATGTGTATATATATTTTTTTTTTATTTTTTTAATTTTTTTTAAAGAGATAGGATCTTGCTCTAGAGCCCAGGCTGGCTTCAAACTCCTGGACAGGTGATCCTCCTGCCTCAGCCCAAGTAGCTGGAACTACAGGCTCAAGCTATCTCAATGGGCCTAAGGACTACTTTTTGCTGGGCTCTGTGCCTAGGCACTGGATGTGCAGTTCTGGACAAGCATAGCAAAGAACCTGTCCTCATGGAGCTTATGCTCTAGTAGCAAAAGATAATAGTAGCCAGGTGCTGTGGTGCACATCTGTAATCCTAGTGGCTCTGGAGGCTGAGGCAGGAGGATAGAGAGTTTGAGGCCAACCTCAGCAATTTAGCAAGGCCCTAAGTAACTCATCAAGACCCGTCTCTAAATAAACTAAAAAAAATGGGGACTGGGGTTGTGGCTCAGTGGTTAAGCGCCCCTGGGTTCAAAGATGGGAGAAGAAGAAGAAGGAGACGGAGAAGGAGAAGGAGAAAGAGAAGGAGAATGAGAGGTTGGGGATATAGCTCAGTGGGTAGAGTGCTTGCCTTGCATGTACAAGGCCCTGGGTTCAATCCCCAGCACCACAAAGAAAAAAAAAAAGAGAGAGAGAGAGAAAGGTAATAGTGAACAAATAAATGACCAGAGATCTGCTGGTAAGTAAAAGATAAATTAGCAGATGACAGGGCTGGGGTGTAGCTTAGTGGTAGAACACTTGCATGGCATGTGCGAGGCCCTGAGTTTGATTCCCAGAGACTTCCCAGAATAAAACTAAAAATTTCCCAGGCTCCCTTGAAGCAAAGTGCAGCCATCTAACTAAGTTCTGATCAATGGAGTAGAAGCAGAAGCAACTCAGGAAATGCCCTTAAAGACAGGGGACAAATCCCTCTTTCCTCCTTTCTCCTTCCTGCTAGCTGGAATGCAGAGATGGTGGCTGAAGCTCAGGCAGTCATGCTGGACCATGAGGAGAAAGGCCCTTGCTGAAGCTGTCACAAGATCGAAGGAACTGCAGAACACTCTTGCATCCCAAGACCAACTACCTGCAGACTTTTAAATCAGAGAGAAATAAATTTCTATCTTGCTTAATCTGCTAAGATTTTGAGTTTTCTCTCACACACGGAACATTCTGATTTTCCTGACACACAGCAATGGAGTGGCTAGGATTATGTCCAATTGGGTGGCCAAAGGAGGCCTTTTGTGAGGGTGACATTCGACCTGAGACCTGAGTGGTGAGAAGAAGCAGCCAAAGGGAGGTTGGGAGGAGCATCCAGGCAGGAAAGACCTGTGCACTTAGGGACCAGCAAGAGGGAGGCCAACAGAGGACAGGCAGAGCTCTGAGTAGGGAGTGAAAGTCACATACACAGGGAAGTCACAACGGATCTTACTCACAGGAGTGATGTCATATGATTTATATTTTTCTAATTTTTTATTTTTTGGTACTGGGATTGAACACAGGGGTGCTTTACCACTGAACCATATCCCAGCCCTTTATATTTTTCGAGACAGGGTCTTGCTTAGGGTCCTGCTAAGTTGCTGAGGGTGGCCTTGAACTTGCAATCCTCTTTCCTCAGCCTCCTGAGTTGCTGGGATTACAGATGAGCACCACCACGCCTGGCTCAACTGATGTTTCTAAAGGGCTGTGAGCTGTGTGGCAGCTGCCCTGTTGGGACCTAAGTGAATCCAGGAAGCAGGAAACTCCTGGGGTAATCAGGAAAGGCGGGAGCTAGTGAAGGGCAGAGGGAGAGAAGATAGAAACAGGTGGACCCGGTGGAATGGACTGAGATTGAACGGAGGGGAGGCTGGGTTTGTCAAAGTGTCACTCATATGGCCTTCCTCAAATATTAGTTGTCTCATCTGTGCTTTTAGCCGGGAGGCAGGAACCCATTTCTGCATTGATTCCATTCAAGTCAACAAACACCTAGCAACTGGCAAGCACTGCCAGAGCCCCAGGCCAGATTTGAGGGCTCCTGTCCTTGGAGCTGATGGTCCCTGAAGGAGAGAGGCAAGATCATGGAGCACCTGGTAGAGCACAGAGGGGTGATAATGCAGGGGGCTCTGAGCTGAGCCCTCTGTCGCCAGGGCTGGGGTTGGGCAGGCAGATGTTCGAGTCAGGATGCCAACACTGAGTCCTGAGGGGCAAAACCTAGGCCCAGCAAGTTTAGAAAAGAAGGATGTCTCAGGATGAGAAGATCCAGAAGCCAAGAGAACAGAGAACAACCGAGAAGGCAAGTGTCGGGCTCAAGAGCTCCCAGACCCACCACGAGATCCTTGAGCAGACCCTGTGTCCCAGGACACCTCACCTCGCAGAGCTCCAGGGAGCTGTCCTGACCCCACAGCCCTTCCCCTTGCCACTTGGGGAAAACCCTTCCATTCTTCCAGACCCTGCAAGAACCTCCCTTCCCCACCATCCTCTTCCTCAGCTCTCAGGGAACATTGAGGAACTTCCAGTTGGTGTCTCTAGAAGGATGCGCAGGGGGAATTATCTCTGCATCGTTCTGCTTGACTATCCTCAGACAGACAGAAGCCTCCTTCCTCCCACCATATCCTCAGGTCCCTGAGGGTGCTGGCGAGGCAGGTGATGGGGCACAGGGGTCTGGAGGAGGACTGGAGTGACCCTTCCAGACCCCTCGTCAACTCAGCTGCAATGATGACCGTCCATTCCTAAGTGTGTGTGCTCTGCCCTCTTCCATTCAAGCCCAGTGGCTGCACGTCTGTCACACCTTTGGTCCCTGCACCACCAGGGAGGCCTTACTCCCTCTTCCCCTGAGGAATTTCTTCAAAGTTCAGCTGAGGTGATTCTCTGGGGACATCTCCTACTTCCCGATTGCTTGTTCCTCAGCCCCTACTTTCTCCACATCCCTGTCAGCACACTGGTTATTTTAATTTAAAAAAATATATATTTTTTTGTAGAGCTGGGGATTGAAATCAGGGCCTCTCTATAATTGAGCTACATCCAACCAAATATATATACTTTTAATTTTAATACAGGGTTTTACTAAGTTGCTGAGGCTGACCTCAAACTTGCAATCCTCCTGCCTCAGCCTTCTGAGTTGCTGGAATTACAGGCACGCACCACCTCACCCAGCAGTTATTTATTTATTTTTTTAATTGTAGTTGGACACAATATCTTTATTTATTTATTTTTTTAAAAAATATTTATTTATTTTTAGTTGTAGTTGGAAACAATACCTTTATTTATTTTTTTTTATATGTGGTGCTGAGGATCGAACCCAGGGCCTTGCACGTGCTAGGTGAGCACTCTACCCCTGAGCTACAACCCCAGCCCTATTTTATTTATTTTTATGTGGTTATGGGGATCGAACCCAGGGCCTTGCACGTGCTAGATGAGCGCTCTACCTGAGCCCCAGCCCCCTGGGTGGTTATTATGTGTTGCCAAACATTCTTCTTACTGGACAGAAGCTCTTGAGGATGGCGCTGTGCAGCTGCTGCCTGGCATCTCCAGGCTCTTACCTGCATGGACAGAAGCTGTGCTTTCTTTTTCTTTTTTAAATATTTATTTTGTAGGTATAGATAGACACAACACAATGTCTTTATTTTTTTAGGTGGTGCTGAGAATCAAACCCGGGTCCCGCCCGTACTAGGCGAGCGCTCTACCGCTGAGCCACAATCCCAGCCCATGAAGCTGAGCTTTCAATCTCCTTCCCATTTGTCATCCCATTTGGTACCAATAGCCCAGAGAAGAAAAGGAAGACCAGAGAGAGGACGTGGCCAGCCAACGTCACACAGCCAGGTGACAGAGCTTCCTGCCCCAGCAGTTCCAAATGGCCCAACTTTGGGCCATTTCCCTTTAATGCAAAATCCTAGGGGTTCTGGATCCCCAGCCCAGGGGGACCCAGGAAGCCATATGTTTAGAAGACAATAGATCCAGGGACATAGCCCTTGCCCGACCCCATTCTGTTTAGCCTCTTGGCCTGGGCCACCACACCCCACATGATCTGGATGGCCATGCCCTGCACACCGGGGCCCACCATGCCGCAGACCCTCCCTTCCTCCTTCAGGGGGTGGCCGAGGCAGTTGCTCCTGTTGAGCACAGCTTTGCAGAGGACCTGAGGACAGCAGCCGAGAGTCACCCACTGGACACTGAAGAAGAGATGCACGAATATGAGATGGATCTGCCCTCAGGGGTCACAGGGCTAAGTGGACACCTTGTAACCAAGCCCCCTGGCACAGGACAATTCACTGAAGTGCCACTGAGCCCTCCTCTCCTGCCTAGGCTCAGCCTCGGCTCCGCAGGCCAAGAGGGAGAGCAGGCAGATCTCCAGCTGCCCCGGCCAGAGGCCTTGGGCAAGTCGCCTCTCTCCGTCCTGGCTGCCTTCATCTGTAAGAAGCAAACATATAATAGACGGTGTCCCCACCGTGGGCCTGCAGGACTTCAGCGAGATGAGGCAGGTGGAGAGCTGACACGGTGCCTGCATGGTCCACTGGTCACTCTGCTCAAGAGAAGCCACTTGACCTCTTGGTCCTTTTAGTTCCCTCCCCTGTGGACCAGGCAGTTGGGGAGAAAGCGTGGCTGCGGTGAACCGGGCATGGTCCCTGCATTGAAGTGCTCAACACACTGGAGCGGTCTGGCTCCATCCGGGTCACTGCCCTTTAGCTCTGTACCAGGACTCAGCCAGGAGCAGGCTCGTGGGCGAGACCAGTGAAGGTTCTGGAATTGTTGGGCTGTGCCTGTCTCTCTGTCCCTGTCTCTGAGTTTCTATTGTTTGAGCCTTGACTAGGGTGTCTTCAACACTCACACTTGGTAGATGAGGAAACCGAAGCCAGGGACTGTCTGGAGTTCCCACGGCCTGTCACTGTCAGAGCCAGGCTGGGGCAGACTCCTCCCTCATGCCCAGTGTCCACAGCACCCATCTGTGTGTGCTTAAGCCTTTTTTCCCAGCCCATCTGAACTCATCTTTCAGTCGGGGACGGGTACTCTGGCAAGGTCACCCTCCCAGAAACAGAGAGACTGCCCCCTGGATGTGGGGGCAGAGGCCCAGTGGGGCCAAGAATGCAGGTGCTCTGGCCCCAGGGCCTGGGCTGGGCTGCCCACAGAGGAGCCAGTGTGCCCAGACATTGGGGCTTTGTCAGCTTGGAACTTGAACTTGGTGTGTGGATGGGACGGTGTTTTTTGTCGACCTGACGTTGCTTCAGGTTGACTGAGTGTCAGTGTCTGAGCACCCAGAGGCCAGCTCCCGGGAGCCAGCCGGGGTCTTGAGAGGAGGTGGTTGGAGAAGAAGGGGAGGAGGCAGCCTGCCCCTGAGCGCTCGGCAGGTGCCTAGGGAAGGCTGCAGAGTGAAGGTCCTGAGGGAGGACGCCAAGATGGAGAGAGAAGGGCGCTTGCATTTGGGGGCCAGAGCAGAGGCCTGGGTGGGAGCGCAGGAGGACCAAGCAAGCCTGAGAGATCCAGAGGGCAGAGGACAAGAGCCCTGAGAACCCAGCCACCACCCTTCAGTCCACAGAGGAAGACACAGGAGAATCCTAGGGGCCAGGAGCCCCATGGGAGGCCTTGGGGCTGGCCAGGCTGGGGTGGGGTGAACCCGACGCACAGCTGTCCAGATGTGGGTGAAAGATAACTCTGTTTATGGGGCACCGGGTGGGAGCAGGTCAGGGGGTGGGAAGGGGCTCCAGCTGTGGGGCGGGCAGATTAGGAGGCGGGGGCATGAGTCAGGGGTTTGGGAGCTGCCCCTGGGCGCCAGAGTGTGGCCCGGTGCTATTCGAGCAGCTGTGAGCTCAGCTGGTCACAGAGGGCACCGGCAGCTGCAGGGCTTTGCTGAAGGACCTGAGGCTCCTGAGCAGGTAGGCTGGACAGGAAGGGGCTCGGGTGGTCCTGTCCTGAGGGTCTGTGTAAGTGGACAGCTGAATCTGTGCCCAAAGGGAGGTGCAGGAGGGTAGGATGGGAATGCCATGAGGTGCATGCTGCCCCCCCAGGGCACAGGCCCAGCAGCACCTGCGGCAGGGGAGTGGGGCTGCAGGTGGCCTCAGGAACACAGGTGTGTGTGTGGCTAATGTGTGTGTCAAGGCACAGAGCTGACCTCTCAGGGCTGGGTCCTGGCAGGTTCCTATTTACCTGCCCCTCGGATCCCACAAACTTTGACCTCACTTACCCCAGACCCCTCTTTCCTGCAAGTATGGGGGTTCCCAGGCCACACCACATCCCACCTGGGAGATAAGATGATGGTCAGCACTTCTTCCCATTTGGGACACTTCCTGGGGTCTATCTGGGGGTCCTGGCAATGTTTCCAGCCTGGAGAATATTTGGGAGGAAAGGAGAAATCCTCCCCAGGACCTGCAGATTGCAAAACACTGAGCTCAGGCAGATTCCACAGGGAGTGAAGGGGAAGCAGAAGGGGATGGAGTTGGCAAGTCTGACCTTGTTCGCGGTGGCAGGGATAATGACAGCCAACACTGATACAGAGACTTTATGTGCCAGGCACAGTGCTAAATGCCTCACAAACTTAATGAGCACAATGGGTCTATCAAATAGGTATCATTACTATCAGTCCCATTTTACAGATGAAAAAAACTGAAGCACAGAGAAGTTGAGTCATTTGCCCAAGGTCACACAGTTAGTAAACTGTAGGGCTGGGATAGAAACACAGGTCATTTGACTGCAGAATCTGTACTCTTAACTACTGATGAGAAACCAACTAAGAGCTCTTTTCTGGGAGGCAACTCAGCATAATGGTTAGAGATGTAGCAGAAGTCAGATAGGCCAGGGCTCGATCCTGCTCCTGGGGCCAGCCTGCTGGGCCACTAAAGCAGGCCAGCCCCTCTGGACCTCAGCTTTCCCATCTGTGAAAAGGGGCTACTGACATTACCCACCTCACAGAGAGGTCTGGGATTATGGGAGTTTAAGCAGTTCAGCTGTCTGTGCCGTGTGGGTTTGATTACACAAGCTGTCCCTGTCATCTGTCACCCCCGGCCTCTCCCCAGCTGTGTTCCCCCTCCTGGGTTCCAGATGCCCAGCTCACCCTTATCTGGCCTGGCCCTGGCTGGCTGGCCCACCAGGCAGGTATTTGGCACACTTCCAAACCCAGAGCAGTGCTGAAGGGGGAAGGGGAGGTTATCAGCACCAGGCAGGAGGCCTGCAGCTGGGGGCAGCTGGGCCAGGCAGGGGCAGCAATCTGGCTCTGGATGCATCCTCTGAGGCCCCAGCTGGGCTCCCGGCACCACCGTTCTCCCCTCCTGTCATTGACTGAATTCTCAGCGCCAGGGTGGGAAGCCCCTCCAAGCCTACAGCCCAGAGAGAGGTCTGTCCATTGAGCACAGGCTGCCCTGACCTCCAGAATCTCTGGCTCTGACCATCCCATCCCTTGGCTGGGAAACCAAGGTCCCGGTCCCAGCCCCACCAGGGGGACTTTTGGCACCTAAGGCTCAGATGCTCTTGAGGTCACTCAGGATCTGAGGCTGAAGAGACTGTGCGAGCGAGACCAGAGAAGAAAGAGAGAATAAAGATGGGCGAGGAAGAGTAAGGGATAGAGGAGCGGGAAGACAGGGCAGCTGTGTGACAGAGCCCTCCAGGAGCATCCTTAAGCGGGGTGGCCCGACTCCCAGGCTTGGGATGCTCCTGTGACTGACAGTTGTTACCCCAAGGCAGGAACGCCTCTCATCTCTCAGTTTGAGGGGCCTCAGCCGTGCCTCTCTCTATTCCCCAGGACTGCAGGACCACCCCTTTGTCAGAGGGGTGTCTCTGCCTTTCTTTCTTTTCTTTTCCCCCCTTTTTTCTTTCTTTCTTTGTGGTGCTGAGAATGGGCCTCTCACCAGCTAGGCAGATGCTGTGCCTGTGCAGATCTTTCGGAAGGAACCCCCTGCCTGACTTGCTCGAGGCCCCCTGTGCAGCCCTGCCTCTGTCTCTGTGCCCCAGACACTCTCATACTTGGGCTTGTCCTCCCGCTTCTGAGCCCATCAAACCCCACCTGTGCGTCCAGATCTACCCCGACCCCCCCCCCCCCCCCCCCCCACCCCCCCCCCCCGCCCGGGGTCCTGCTCTCCCTCCTGCCACACAGCCAGAGGGCTGGCGTCCAGCACAGTTGGCCTCCTAACTTGGGTCCATTTCTGGGATGTCACCTAGGTGGCCCTGTGTTCCTGGTTTTCCGTCTAGCTAGGGCTGGAAGCTTCCTGAGAGTAGCCTTGTTCTTCTCCGTCCCCAGCACTCAGCAGAGTGGCCACATTTGTGGACCCCGACCCAAACGCCTGTGGCTCCAGTGTTCTGTGTTGCAGTGGGTGAGAGCAGCAGAGGAGGCCCCTCTGTACCCAGTTTTAGGCCATCATAGATGACCCCTGCCCTCCCCGAGGACCTGTCCTCACATTCCCCGTGGACATAACTTCCTCTCCATCGGGGACTCTCTGAAGAAACTGAGGCCCAGGGCTCAGCAGCCTCTTGGATGGTTCCTGGTCATTTTGGCTCCTCAGACCTTGAGCCCCAAGCCTGCAGTGGGGAGCCATCACCATAGTCATTCAACAAATATTTATTGAGCACCTTCTATGTGGCAACCACTCTGCTGGGAGTGGGGGACTTCATGGGTTTGAGACATCCAGGGTCTTTGCACTCATGTGGCTTCCCTTTGTCATGCAATGTATATATAAATAAATCAAAGAACTGGAAAATACCAGACTGGGTTAATGAATGTTAGAGGGAGGTCAGGGAGAGCCTCTGAAGAGGTGGCATTTGATCTGAAATGTGAGAAGGGGGAAGGTGTTGGCAGCAGGTACATTCAGAATGTGGGAAACTGGATGTGCAAAGGTCCTGGGTCAGAAAAGGGCTTGACGAGTTCTAGAAACCATAGGGAGGCCAATAAGCTAGGTGGAGAGTGGGCAAGAGAGGGTTCAAGATGGGGTGGGGAAATTACAGGTCTGGTAGAGTGTACCTGTAACCTAGCTACCCAAGGAATCTGAGGTAGGAGGATCACAAGTTTGAGGCCACTCTGGGAGACTCAGTGAGACCCTGTCTCAAAATTTTTAAAAAAATAAATAAATAACAATAAGAGGGCTGTGGATGTAGCTCAGCAGTAAATTGCTTAACTAGCACATGTGAGGCTCTGGATGGATTCCCAGTACTGAAAGACAAAACAAAACAAACCCTAATCTAAGGTAAAGCTGGGTGCAGCAAGAGCACACCTGTAATCGCAGCAACTCGGGGAGCTGAGGCAGGAGGATCTCAAATTCGAGGCCAGCCTTATTAATTTTGCAAGACCCTCAGCAACTTAGTGAGATCTTGCCTCTAAATTAAAAATATAAAGGACTAGGGGTGAGGCAAAGTGCTCCTGGATTCAATCTCCTGCACAAAATAAATTAATTAATTAAATTAAATCCAAAACTTAGGATGGGGGTGGGGAGAGAAGCAGGTTCACATCCTTCAGGCTCTGTGGGCCACTCCAAAGGCGCTGCCACCTCCTGCCCTGTGGGAAGCAGCCATCTCTGGGAGAAGAGGGGTTGACGTGGAGACCCTCAGGGGAGCCAAGCCCTCTGCAAAGGGGTCAGGTGGTGCCCAGGCGTTGGCGGAGTGCTGGGGACAGGCAGGAAGAGAAGCCAGGTGAGGGCTAGCGCAGGAGGCTGGAGCTGGGCTTGAACTCTTACCCCCTCTTCCCAAACACGCTGAGACTGATGCCAGGCAGGCTCTTCTTCCCTGTGATGCCGGTCCCCAGCCCTGCCTGCCCTGGAGACCCATCTCCTCCCAACGCCCCACCTCTGCTTCCTTCCTCGGATCCCACTGTCTCCCACCACCTGCAATCTCCTACCCCTGCTATGCACCTACTGAGAAAAATGGGGTGACCTCAGGATGCCCTGGGCCTCACTCAGCCTGTGCCCTTCCCCTGCAGGGACCCGCAGTGCGGGTTATGCTGGGGGCTCAGATCACGTTGACAAGTGGACACTCAGGACAGCACCATGGGGGACTCACAGGTAGGTCTCTCCTGGCATCCGCAGGGCTCCTGTCTGGGCCTCTGGGAGGCCAGCCCTGGCCTTTGCCTTCAGGGGGTTTTGAGGGGCCCTCGTGGCAGCCCAGTCTTGAGAGCCGCTTCCCACAGGAGGACTATGAAGAAGTGCTGGAGGAGATACTAGAGCAGGAGGAATATGAGGACCCAGGCATCCCCGTGCAGCAGGTGGAGGAGCCAGAAGGTGAGTCCTTCTCCTGCCCTCTGCCAGGATGAAGGGCTGAGCCCCAGCAGGGACAGCGGAGGAACTCGTCCTCCCCTCTTCTCCACAGCCCCACCCCACCTCCCCAGCCCCAGGCCGGCTCTCCCCACAATCCTGGTTGATTGAAGGATAAACAGCACTTTGTTTGAAATGATCATAGGAGGTGACTGGGGGCGGACGGGGGGCAGGGCCAGTCACCCGTCGCAGTGCCCTTTCACATGTCAGAGAGCAGCCAGGCCTATCTGGGACAAGGGCACGAACCCCCCGGCCACCCAGACCTATCCAATGCCAGCTTTAGGCCTGGTGTTGGGCCCATTTGGGGAACATCGTTCTGTCTTGGGGGTTGGAGAGCCTGAGAAATGGAGGGTGCAGTGGGGATCCCCTGAGCAGAGAGACCCTAGGAGCCCACACCACCTTCCTTGGTCTGTCCAAGGTCTTTGGTGGGGAGCCCCAGGCGGGGACCTGTTTACTGTCAACAGGACTTAAGTGCGGGCAATTGGTATTAAAGTTAAGAGGCCCCGCTGGAGAACAAGGGCTAGGGTGGGGTGGAAGGGAGGGATATAAGGGGCTCACCCCAACTTGGTGTCCTTTGGGACTCTACCCAGCTGGCTGGTTGAGACATATGGGAAGAGGAAAAGGAGTCTAGTCCCAGAGGTGGGAGGGCAGGGAGGAGCCCCTGGGTCTATCCTGCTCTAGGGATCCTCAACAAGACTCAGGTGGGGAGTGACAGAGCCAAGCTGGGCCCCGACCAGGCATGGGGAGCCACATCGCATTGAGTAGCAAGCGTGGAGTGGAGACACTAGGGTCCCATCCATGGGCAGTGAAGTGGGCCTGGGTCTCCCCAGCTCACAGCGGGTGGTACGGCAGGGCCTGGAGGGGTGAGGGAGGGAGATGGCCAGGCAGGGCTCACCAGCCTCTGGGTTCTGGTTTTCAGCTCTCCCCGAGGAACCACTGCCAACAGCCACAGACTACACCCACGTCCCCACAGGCCCGGGCACCCACGAGGTGAGGACGCAGCCTCCCCAGTTCTTTACTAGACTGCCTTTGGGACCCACTATGGGGGACAGAGGCAGCTCAGGCTAGGGAGACCCCACAAACAGGCAGAGGAGTGGGGTTCTGGAAAATGGGGAAGGGAAGGGGACACCCCCCACAAAGAGGGAGATCAGGGTTCCTTTCCTGAAGCTCCCTGGACAGAGACCTGGCGGCTGAGGGGTGAGGCCTGGTGCCCTTAGGTCCTGGCTGGGTTGGTGGGGACACAAAGAATTAAATACATGTTCTCCTCCGCTCAGGCCCCAAGTCCCTGCTGGCTGCCAGGCTGTCCCGCTGGTTAGGAACTTGGGCCTGCCCTCTGCTATGGCCCTGAAAGTGGCCACCTAGCCTCAAGGACATGCTGAGTCATATTCATGCAAGCCTTGGAGACAGGAGACCACACCACTGGCTCCCCCAGATCCCTTCATCCTCAGCCCCCAGGCCCTAATTTTCTCTTTCTCCCCCAAGTGGCCACTCTAGTACCCCTAGAGGTTCTCCAAGGATCCAGAGGTTCTCCAAGCCCCTTCTAAGCTGGAGTAAGGGCCTAGGGAGAAACGTGGGACTAGAGCCAGCAGCATGGACCAGACCTATAGGGCCCTTTGCTGTCCCCATACTCTGAGCTCAGGGTCTGGCCCTGAACCCTCGGGGGCCCTGGGCCTCGTACTAGAATCTTCCCGGAGCTTCTGGGTACCCACTGGGCCTTGGGGTCTCATGCTCCCGTTGATCCTGCCCGTGGCCTGATGGACTAACTCAGGCCCATGGGCCGCAGGTGTACGTGGAGCTTCACGAACTAGTGATGGATGAGAAGAACCAGGAGCTACAATGGATGGAGGCAGCGCGCTGGATGCTACTGGAGGAAAACCTGGGGCAGAATGGGGTCTGGGGCCGCCGGCACCTGTCTTACCATACCTTCTGGAGTCTCCTGGAACTGCAGAAAATCTTTGCCAAGAGTGAGCCCTACTGGGCCCCCCTGACCCTTGCATGGGAGGCTTGTTGGGGGGGGCCACAGTCCAGCTGCCTGCTCATCCCCCACTGCCTGCAGGTACTGTCCTCCTGGACCTGAAGGAGACTTCCCTGGCTGGAGTGGCCAACCAGCTGCTGGATAGCTTTATCTACGAGGAGCAGATCCGGCCTGAGGACAGAGAGGAACTGCTCCGGACCCTGCTGCTCAAACACAGGTGCCCCTACCTTCCAGGGCCTGGACTTCTCGCCCAGTGGCCCCATGTCCTCTGCTCCAAGTGGCCCCGTCCCCACCAGGCAGGACCCCACTTTTCCTCCATCACAACTCCCACCTCTGGCACCTCACAAGGGGTGGCCCTGCCACTGTGCTCAGAGTTAGACCCTTGAGGTTCTTTGCTGTCCTTTCTTTTGTCCTGACATTCCAAGCAGAGGCCACCCACTTACATTCACAGTGTTCTGTGAGAGGGGGTTCTCCAGCCTCCTGGAGCTTCTCCCACCCCAGGGTCTCTCTGCTCTGGTTGCTGGAGAGTTCTACTTGATGTCTACCTTTGCTCCCTACCACCCCTAGTCTCTAGTGTGTTGATAGCCCAACCTGAACAACTTACGGAGCCCACGCCCCCTGTATGTCCTACAGCCATGCCCGAGACCTGGAGGACCTGGGAGGGGTGAAGCCCGCAGTCCTGTTACGCTCTGGGGAGCCTTCTCAGCCTCTGCTCTCCCAACAGCCCTCGCTAGAGACACAGCTCTTCTGTGAACAGGTGAGCCTGCACCAGGGGTGCATAGGAAAGCTGGAAAGTTCCTTGGAGCTGGGCTGTGGTAGGAAGTGAGAGTGGGGAGCAGAGGAAGGGGCTGAACGCTCAGGTCTCCTGGGTCCAGAGCAGCCTAAGGACTCTCCTTACCACCCTCCTTCCTACAGGGAGAGCAGAGCACAGAAGGTTCCTCACCATCTGGAATTCTGGAAAAGATCCCCCCGGGTTCCGAGGCTACCCTGGTGCTAGTGGGTAAGAGCTCCTCAGCCCTCAACACCCACAGCTGCTGTCTCCTGTCCTGGCCCAGCCTGCCTTTCCCTGAGCCTAGACCTAACAGCCTCCTATCCTGGGTACATGCACCTTGTGCCCCTCAGCCTGGTCTGACCACCTGGCCCCCCCACAGGCCGCGCCGACTTCTTGAAGCAGCCAGTGCTGGGCTTTGTCCGGCTGCAAGAAGCCATGGAGCTGGACGCCATCGACCCTTCTGTGCCTGTGCGCTTCCTCTTTGTGTTGCTGGGCCCCAAGCCCTATTACACCGACTATATTCAGCTTGGCCGGGCTGCTGCCACCCTCATGTCAGAAAGGGTGAGGAGGGGTCTATGAGGGCTGGGGGAGCCAGGGAGTAGGTGATAGCCAAGGCTGGACGTTCGTTCTCTTGCTGGACTGGCCCAGCTGACTTCTGTTAGGTTCTATTTGGCTCATTGGGTCTCATTCAGCCACTTCTATTCCAGCTGGCCAGGGGAGTCCTGTCCAGCACTGCCAAGACAGACCCTAAGGTGTGCTTAGTCTGGACTGTTTCTGGTCTGGCCTGGCCTGGTTAGTCTAGTCTAGTCTGACCCACTCTGACCCAGCTCTACCTGGTCATTCTGGCTTGTGCTGGCCAGGTCTACTGTCTATCCCCCCAGGTTTGCCTTAGATTCTTCCCCTTTCCCTACCCAGAGTCTCTGTATCCCCAGGGCCCTTCCTTACTGGGTGATAGGGGTGGAGGGGCAGGAAGAGCAGATCCTAGCAATGGAGCTGGATGAGAGGATTCTGGTTGTTGTAGGCAGACTCCTAGATCTTTTTGCTCAGCAGGTCTGGGCCACCCTGATCCTCTCTCCTGCCCCCAGGTGTTCCGCACAGATGCCTACCTCGCCCAGAGCCGGAGGGAGCTGGTGCACTCCCTGGAGGGCTTTCTGGACTGCAGCCTGGTGCTGCCTCCCACGGATGCCCCCTCTGAGCAGGCCTTGCTCAGCCTGGTGCCTGTGCAGAGGGAGCTGCTTCGGAGACGCTACCTGTCCAGCACTGCCAAGCCAGACCCCAACTTCTACAAGGACCTAGGTAGTGTCCTGCCCAGGCCAAAGCTTCCTGAGCCCCCAACAGCCCTCAGACATCCTGGCACAGCCTGCCCCCTTCCCATAAGACACCCTCTCTCACTTCTTGCCCCTGCTTCCCAGCCTCTGTGGCCACCCCATTCCCACTGACTCCCCTCTAATCATGTTTCTATCTTCTACCACAGGCTTGAATGGGGGCCCAGGGGTCCCTGGTGGCCCAGATGACCCTCTGCAGCGCACAGGCCGGCTCTTTGGGGGCCTGGTGCGGGACATCCGGCGCCGCTACCCCCTCTACCTGAGTGACATCACAGATGCACTCAGCCCCCAGGTCCTGGCTGCTGTCATCTTCATCTACTTTGCTGCCCTGTCACCTGCCATCACCTTTGGTGGCCTCCTGGGTCAGTACCAATTACTGTCCTCCTAACTCTCCTCTCTGACCCTCTTGCCTCTGCCTCAGCCCTGACTTGTGATCTGATCTGACCCTCTGGACCCCTGCATCAGCCTGGCTATGACCTGCTCTTGTGGTCCCTGGAAATAACCTCTTGACCTTGACCCTACTTTGACCTTTCCCCACAGGAGAAAAGACCCAGAACCAGATAGGGGTGTCAGAACTGCTCATCTCTACTGCGGTGCAGGGCATTATCTTTGCCCTCCTGGGGGCTCAGCCGCTGCTGGTGGTTGGCTTCTCAGGACCCCTGCTGGTGTTTGAGGAAGCCTTCTTCTCGGTAACTCTCTGACCCTGACCCTGGCCCCACCTGCCTGATGCACCTGTGCCTGAGCCTTCTTGGTTTGACTCGGTGTCCTCTGACCACCCTGCAGTTCTGCGAGAACCATAACATGGAGTACATCGTGGGCCGTGCCTGGATCGGCTTCTGGCTTATCCTGCTGGTGGTGCTGGTGGTAGCCTTCGAGGGCAGCTTCCTGGTGCGCTTCATCACCCGTTATACTCAGGAGATCTTCTCCTTCCTCATCTCCCTCATCTTCATCTACGAGACCTTCTCCAAGCTGATCAAGGTGTGGGTCTGTGCTGTTATTAACACCACTCAAGACGGTCTATGAGAAGTGACTGTGTGTGTCATCTGTACAGTGTTGTGTGGCCGTGTTCCACCTGTGTGCATAACCGTGTGACAGTGCATGAGTGTGAGATCATACACGTCTGTGTGTTCACTCATCTGCTGACGGTGACCACATACCTTCTGCCTGGGACTCGGTGTTTTTGCTAACTCTGCAGAGTGGCTACATGTGAAAAGGCGCTTCTATGGACCCATGTCCATGTTCATGACCACACACAATGTGACTAGTGGGCCAGTGTGTGAGCGAGGCTGTGTGGGAAACAGCATGTGCGTGCACAGTGAGGCCCTGACCCCGCCCCCCCACACACACACTAGCACTCAAGAACCCAGGGGCACACTGTGCTCCTTACCTTGCCTCTGTCACCACACCTGCTTCTGCATCTGCACGTTATATGGAGGGTTTCACTCTGCTATATGTCTCCCCTTGATTCTACTGGTTGGTGGATCTTTCTATTTTCCAGGTCTTTTCAGCCTATTTTATTAATTAATTTATCACAGTGCTGGAAATTGAATCCAGGGCTTCATACATGCTAGGCATGTGCTCTACCCCTGAGCTTATCCCAGCTCCCTTTTTAAAAATTTTTTTGGAGGTACCAGGGATTGAACCCAAGGGCACTCGACCACTGAACCATATCCCCAGCCCTATTTTTTGTATTTTATGTACAGACAGGATCTCATTGAGTGGTTTTTTTGCCTCACTAAATTGCTGAGCTTGGCTTTGAACTCGTGATCCTGATTCAGCCTCCTGAGCTGCTGGGATTACAGGTGTGCGCCACTGTGCCCGGATTACTTGTTCTTACCCTCCGGGCTTCTTGTGTCCTCCAAGACCTGGGAAAGCTTGTCTGCACACACATACACTAATTGCCTTCATGGCCCACATCTGCCCAAGCCTAACCTGGTGTTCATCCCTGAAAACCAAGCTGTAGAATCCCCTCTGTTACTACATCAATTGAAGACGAAGGTGGATAGATGGTGCATGGATGGATGGATGGATGGATGGATAGATACATGGATGATGGATGGATGGATAGATGATGGATAGATGGATGATAGGGCTGGTAGATTTGGCTGCTACTTTTTGTTCCAAGCCAAGGCTGGGAGGGAGCAGAATGTCTTGGTTTTCTGTTGTAGATTTTCCAGGACCACCCGCTGAAGGACCAGTATGAACCGCCCGTAATAGTAAAGTCCAAACCTCAGGTGGCCCTGCCCAACACAGCCCTCTTCTCCCTTGTGCTCATGGCTGGCACCTTCTTCTTTGCCATGACTCTACGCAAGTTCAAGAACAGCTCCTACTTCCCTGGCAAGGTCAGCACACCTTCCCTCCCTGTCCTTGTTACACTACCTTGTCCCAAGCCAAAGTCCCCCTGCCACCCCCAGCCCCTATCCTTAACTCCCCTTCTTACCCATCCCCAATTCCAGGCCTCCCTGGCCCCCATGCCAGGGTTTCACCCTGCAGGCAAGCCCATGGTCCCTCTGCGCGTCCCGGCAAGGAACCAGGGAAAGTTCTTGGTGGAGTGTGGGGGTGGGGTGACCATGGGGGGGAGGGCTGAACCAGAGGAAGATATAATTGAGTTGAGGAAAGGCCATTAGATATTGATAGATCCCTTGGGATTCCCTGAATAAATATGGCACAAGAGGGAAGACAAGTGGGAGGCAGGAAGTGGGGAGCAACTGGATGCTGATCACTGGTCCCTTTATCTGTCTCTAGCTGCGTCGGATCATCGGGGACTTTGGGGTTCCCATCTCCATCCTCCTCATGGTCCTGGTGGATTACTTCACCGGCATAACCTACACCCAGGTGACCCCTCCTCCTATTCCTCCCCTCTGACAGCTCCCTTCTCATTTCCTTCCTCATGTATGCCCCTCCCCAGATCAGCTGTCCCCATTTAGAACTACCTCTACTCTTTCCTGCCTCCCCTGGGAACCCCATTCTCTTCCTACGGTCCAAAGGACCCCTTAGCCCAACAGATCACCCTCTTTACTCCTTAGTTCAGGCAGTAGAAAAGTGCCTACTTTGAGCCAGGCAGACCTGGATATAAAACTCAGCTCTTGCTGCTGAATAGCTCTGTGATATGGGGCAAGCTACATAACCTCTTGGATCCTGTTTCCTCATCCATAAAATTGGGAGCAACTTAGTGCAGTGACTGGGTACAGAGTAATTGCTCAAGATAAGTACATTCCCAAGCACCCCACTCAACTCCCTGGCCCCCAGGACCTTGACTCCAGCTATCCCCTTCTCTCCCCATCCCCCAGCCCCTGGTATTCTTACCAGCTTCCTCCTCCCACAGAAACTCTCAGTGCCTGATGGCCTCAAAGTGTCCAACTCCTCAGCCCGAGGCTGGGTCATCCACCCATTGGGCTTATACTCCGAGTTCCCCATCTGGATGATGTTCGCCTCTGCCCTGCCTGCCCTGCTGGTCTTCATCCTCATATTCCTTGAGTCTCAGATCACCACGTAAGAGCCTGGATGGGGGCTGGGCCTGGGAGGGTCCGAGGCAGAGAAAGGGGGCAGGCTTTGAGCATGCAGGTGACCCCACTAGTAAGAGTATTGGACTGTGGTTTTGTGGCTCCTGAAGTTACATAATTTTCAGGCCCCTTTTTATGACAATGCAAAAATGAGAACTATGAAATTGGTGCTGACTCTCAGAAAGGGCCCATACAGGCAAAAACCCCTGAAATCAAAGCTTTTTAAGCTTTAGCAAATCTACCTTTGGGTGTTCTGAAGACATTTCTACTCCCAGAGTCTAGATTCTCAAGATGAACCAGAGGGAGGGAGCGAAGAACTCAAAGAGAGACAAGGACAGGAGGGAAAACTGGGGTGCAGAGAGACCCCACCGTAGGGAAGGAAGGAGCGGGCAAAGGAGATAGGGGCTGACCAGACCTCCCCGCTCCCCCAGGTTGATTGTCAGCAAACCCGAGCGCAAGATGATAAAGGGCTCCGGCTTTCACCTGGACCTGCTGCTAGTTGTGGGCATGGGTGGAGTGGCCGCCCTTTTTGGGATGCCCTGGCTCAGTGCCACCACGGTGCGTTCAGTCACCCATGCCAACGCCCTTACCGTCATGGGCAAGGCCAGCGCGCCAGGGGCTGCAGCCCAGATCCAGGAGGTCAAGGAGCAGAGGATCAGCGGGCTCCTGGTGTCTGTGCTTGTGGGTGAGTGAGGGCTGGTCCTGCCCTCCATCATCCTGCCCCGCCCACCCTGCTCCCAGTCCCTGCCCCAAGGATCCGAGGTTCCCTCTAGCTCTGTTCACCCTGAAGCCAGGTCCCCACACATGCACTGCCCACCTTTCCCAGAATCAACGACTCAGGAGGGAAACCTAGAGGAAATTCCTGCAGTGCCGACACACTGGGCTGGGCTTCTGAGCAGGGGAGGAAGGGGCTACGCCCTGAGGCTTCTGTAGACCACTCCCTGGGCTCGACCTACAGAAGCTTAGTGAGCTGTGAGTTCCTGCCCTGCCCTGCCCTGCTGCTGACTCAGTACTCCTCCTGGTCTCTGAGCCTCAGTTTCCCCATCTGTACAGTTAGGGAATTCATTAGATGCTGAGCTCTCTGAGCTCTCTTCCAGCTCAGCTGTTTCATGACTAGCACAAGGGGTGATGTTCCAGGGACAAAGGGCAGAAGACAAAGGGTCACTGGGCCCCATCTGAGTTCAGAGAAGACTAGTTCATCTGGGCTTAATGTGGGCAATAGTGCCATAGTCACTGGAGAAGATAGGGAAGGTTCTTTCCTCCTCCTCCTTCCTCCTCCTCCTCCTCCTCTCCTCCTCCTCCTCCTCCTCCTCCTCCTCCTCCTCCTCCTCCTCTCCTCCTCCTCCTCCTCCTCCTCCTCCTCTCCTCCTCCTCCTC